TTTGCATTAGTTGCAGCTTTTGCATCATCTCCAAGAGTAGCCCCATGCAGAACACATTACAGTAGTCTAATCGAGGGGCTACCAGTGCCTAAACCACTGGGACTGGGACTGGGACCCCAGAAGAGCCAGATGTGGATCCTGGGCCTGAGATTCCTCATTGCTGGCATATAGTTCAGTATCTGAGTATGTGCCATGAAGGCAGACAATACCTGGCATCTCTCGTACAAAGGACGACAATCTTAAGAAGCAAGGCTGAACAAGGGGTGTTGGTGCCTCACTGTCAGCCAAAGCAGGCAATAATCTGACATCACTCAGAAACCTGTGTTCACATCACTAGGTAGCATAACACAGGATTATAACCTATAGGTTTTAATAACCTATGTTCCAACTCTGGATTTAAATGAAGTAATTAAAGCCATGTGATTCATGAGTATATTTGTGTCACAACAAGCTTCAGGCTCTCTGACTCCGCTTGCTTTGTTACTGATGTAATGAAGGGCTGGAAGAGTCTGTAATTTCACATTTTAAGAGGTGGCGATGGTAGCAACCCTCCTCCGGAGGATTAGCGTCAGAGAATCATAAAATCGTAGGGCTGGAAGGAACCCCAAGGGTGCTCTAGTCAAACCCCCAATCATGCAGGAAGGCACAACTAAAGCTCTCCCAAAAGATGGCTCTCCAACCTCTGTTTAAAGATCTCCAAAGGTGGAGAGTCCACCACCCTCCAAGGCAGCGAGTTCCACTGTCAAACAGCTCTTATTGTCAAGACGTTCTTCCTAATGTTTAGGTGAAATCTCTTTTCCTATAGCTTGAACCCATTGCTCCATGCCCTAGTCTCCGGAGCAGAGGAAAAGAAGTCTCCTCCATCTTCTATATGACATCCCTTGAGATATTTACAGATGGCAATCATGTCATTTCTCAATCTTTTCTTCTTCAAGGTGAACATACCCAGTGCCCTCAGCCATTCCTCATAGGGCTTGGTTTCCATATCCTCAGCCCTCTTGATCACTTTTGTAGGGACACATTCCAACTTGTCAATAGTTTTCTTTAGCCATGGTGCCCAAAACTGGGCTCAGGACTGCAGGTGAGTGTCTGTCGAGAACTGATCTTTTCCCCCAAGTACAGTGAAACATGAGCTTATCACATTGTTAAATAACTCGCCTTACTTGATCCGGTTTAAAATAAATGTGGGTGGCATCCAGACCCTATTGCAAGGGTTTTGCTGCTGAAATCCCCACCCGGGGCCATCCCAGCTCCTGGAGCTGCTCCGGCGGCCTTTTTCTCAAGCTGGAAAACTCCCAGCTTCGAAAAGAGCCATGCTGAGTGGCTCTAGAAGCAGGGATGGCCCCAGGCTGCAATTTTGTCAGCAAAACCCTTGTGATAGGGTTTAATTTTAAGCCGGATCAGGTAAGGCGAGTTATTTAAAAATACAATAAGCTTCCCAGTGTTCTACGTTTCAAACAGTAAAACTTTATTCCAGTAACCATAGGTGTTAGCAGGAAGAGGTCTGCAGACAGAACTGATATCATTTCCATACACCAGCCCAATATTCTCTTTACCCAGCTCTACAATTTCAATGTCTTTTTTTTAACAATTTGTCCATAAATCAATACAACTCTGTATAGCTCCCTTCTTTACCCAGCCCCCTCCCCTT